ATGCAATGGACAGGTTGCCTGTAGTTTTTTTTCTCTTTTTTTTTTAAGTAAAAAAAATATTACTGGTAGCCTTAAAAAGGAGTGGATGCACTTTTATACAGTAGCTCTACTTGCACTTTGTCTCTTGTTTATTTGTGGCTAACAAATACTTCTAGCGTACACTTACTAGATGGTAAATCATAATATTTTTCCGTCTTCTTTACCCCAGGAACTTTGAGTGGATATCATCGTCTTGCATCTGGTAGTGTAAGTCCACCTCCACCTACTACAACCCTTGTGCCCAGCCATGCACGTACCGGATCTAGCCCAGCTATGATGCAAAATGTATCTCATCCAGATGTTTTGTCGCATTCAAATACACCATCACCATCTATTCCAAGTGGAGCAAATTCATCATCAGGCGGTAACCGTGCAGGCAGGACAAACACTTACCCCAAAATTCCAGATCGTTTTAGAATGCAAAGTCCTGATGCAGGCTCTCCAGCCAAAAACCAGAATCATCATCAACAAGAAGAAGAAGTCATATTTTTCTGATGTTGGCATTTCTTGTCTTGTTTGTTGTATCAGACAGATAACTGAGTTGTTAGTTATCTCTGGTTGCATACTACTAACATGACTGATGTTTGCTTTACTCTGTGTTGTAAAGCCTCAGAATGTGTTACAATCCAATTGAGTTTTTTGTCTTGATTTGTTACAATTTGCATTCCTCAAAGATGAGAGGGTTTCATGTTTCTTTGATTACTTTGAAATTAGTTACCAGTTGTACTGTCGGCGAGAAAGGGCTTAGCTAGTTGTTTGAATATTGTGGTAAGCCAAAGAACATTAATTGAAATTCCATTTTTAAAGTAGTGTGAATATGTTAAATATGTGTATGTTACAAAGTCCTGTGTATACCCATGTGTTAGTGAGACGTCATTGTTGATTGTGATTCCCTTCAGCAGCGAAATGATTGTAATATGTGATACTCTTGATGTATGCAACGAATTCCATAAATACCCATTCATATGTGCTATATTCTGATGTGTATATGAATGATTATATGTTTGGTGAATTAGGAAAATTATGATATTACCTATTGATAAATTATTAACAATTTATGAAATGTTTTGTTTTATTAAAGATAGTCAAAGTGATATTGACCTTCTAGAGCTGAACTCAGTTGTCACTCTGACCAGTATCAGTATTAAAGTGTCAATCAAGTCTATTTTAAGTAATGGAATAAACTATGACAATATAGCAATGACTGTGCAAGTTGATCATGAGATTGCATGGAACTGGAGTTTAAGGATGACATATATTTTATGTGAACCTAAAACACATGTGTAGACCAGTTTCCTGTCCTGTCAAGCCAGATAACCCTTGTATTTTTGTGAAGTACGTAGTTGGTGTGAAATTTGTTTGTCTCCTATTTATTTATTTTTGACTCTGAAGTTTAAAACTAATAAGAGCCTGGAAGATGTATGCTTTTAAAAAAAGTTAACACAGAATGTTATATTTGGTGTACTGTCTTTCATCAAAGTTTAGTATGTGTTCATTCTATAACACACTCATATATTTCTATTTATTTTTATTGTAAGCTGATTATAATTTTAAGTTCTTACTTTTACTGTAAATTTTGTAATTTTTGTTTGTGCAAAGTATTTTTTCAGTTTTTAAGTGAATTGTTTGTAAGTTTCAAGATTTCAATGATATTATGTGCAATGTAAGATTTTACAACACTTCCTCCTCCTCCTCTCTGTGATGTTTTCTTTGTTTATTGTTTTTCTTCCCCTAGTGATGTAAGTACGTTATATATTGTTTCAATTCCAACTTTCTGTAATTCATGTTTGTGTCCATATCAAAGTCATATTTTTGTATGGAACCATGTTGTCTGTTGACTTTGATAGTTAGCTCTCATCGTATGCGATGCAAGCCTGTGTAACATCAATATCCAAGATACTATGAATTGCTTTAAATGAACTTGGCAACGTTTATTTAGACTTTGTGATGCCTACTATCAATCCAGATAGTCTAGCTGCCACAAACTACCTAGACCGTAGTGGGGACAACCACATGTATTGTTGCTTGAAGTTTGAGTAGCTAGTGTCAGTTACTGATGTATGCAATACCATGCATGTTTTATCTCACCCGAGTGTATTTTAAGTATTTATTCTGTAGGTGTTAGGTGGTGTGATTTTATTTACTTAACTGTGTCAGCAGGCACAAGAGTGTATGTAAGATGTAAGAATCTTTAGAACAAGGGTACTCTACACCCTTGTTTGGCTTTGATGGCCAACCTTTGAGACTTGGGATTTTGACTGCAGATGATATTTCTATCTATAGCCACTTATTTTTATTTTACAACTGCCCTAGTGTGTGATGAGTAGATTACAGTTTTGCAAAACAAAAAAAAACAAAACAAAAAAAAGTGAAAACTGTAGTGTAGCATTCTATTTATTTGTGTTTTTTTTTACCATTTTGAGAAAATGTACTGGAAAATGTGATGACTATAAATGTGCAATAGGATTCCACCGTTACATCAATGAGAATCCTTTTGTTTTCCTTTTGATTTTCTCTGCTGTTGCACCTATGTGAAATAACATCTCTTGTTCTGTTAAGAATACCCCTTCCTTTATTTTTCTTTCCTTGATTGGGAATGTACAGTTTTTAATTAGCAATTGTGACATGTTTGCTTTTGACCTTGAATGAATTTTCATCAGCTACTGTTTGTCGAAGTCTAAGAGAAACAATACTTATCTTGTAGTGGGTGCTGCAATTCTTGCATGCTATGCACTTTATTTTACTAATGCTGGTAATTAAAATCAAATTTAACACGTTAAAACTATCAGTTTTAATTCTCTTAAAGTGTGGTTGTTATGTGCAGGTCATCTATCTTCTGTTGTAATTGTATTTCTACTACTGAACTAGTGTGGAAGAGATTTGATTGATTTGTTTTAAGTACTCAAGTACTCAAGTACTCCTCTTAATGTCTATGAACCTTCATTTTAACGTGTATAGGCAGCTAATCAATCATATTCAGTATGGAATCTCCCTATTTACTGTATTGTGAAACCCCAAGTATGTTCATTCAAAAAATTAATCACTGTGGGAATGGGCAAGGACCAGGAGAGTCCCTAATGTAAATGTGTGGTGTCCTGTATCAAACCTTTCAGATTTATTATAATCTCTCCAATATGAAGATATCATTTTCCCTGTTCTTTATATACCCTTACTACATGTTATTCAATATATCAGATATTGAATCTTATCAACCAAAATTTACACCAAAGATTACTTTGTCGAAAAGATGAAATCTTAATGTAAATATGCATAATAATTGTAATATTATGTACTCTAATTTCTTAACATCAGCGCTTAACAATTATGAGCTGTTTTTGTTTTCATTTGAACTCTCTAACTTGTGCTATTTTTGCTTACTGTACATGTTTTAATTACATAATAGAATTGCTGTTAAAACTTTTGTTCGACTGATAATCAATTGCAATGGAACAGATTATGTTCTGTTAAACTCGCATATGACTGTGCCAAACGCATCTTGATCTCCTTTTATTTATTGATCTTTTCTTATCTATTTTTGTTTTGAAGAGGTGAACTGACTTAATGCACTTTACCCCTTTTGCCAGAGGAGTTCAATTGTTTCCTGCTCATATACTGCTGCAGCAATGTATTGTGATAGCAGTTGTCTTCCATAATCACACTTTAATGCTGAGTTTAACTGTCATGTTTGTTCCAGTAATCCAAGCTTGTCTTTTTAAATCTATTTTTATTTATTCATTTTTTATTTTATTTTTGTTGGTAAAGAAATTTGGTTTCTGGGAGGACTGCAGTTTTTTAATTGAGTAAGGCATGAGTGTATCATTGTGTGTCTCATGTTTCTCCCAGACTTTATTGGTGTCTTGGGCTATGTGTGCAAGTGTTGTGGATTTAGGATTTTTTCTTCTCTACTAGTATATGTGTGACCCTTCCATTGTGCCTTTTCTATTATAAGATCAATATGGAGTCTTGCATTACCACTCATAGTTACATAAAATTCCATTTGTAAGGGACACTTGCCAATGTCTTGTTGACTATTCTTTGTGTAATTTAGCAATAAGAAAGCAATACTTAGGTCATTAAGTGACCCAAAACTATTTTCATTCTACGGCCTATCCATCTATCTAATCTGTCTTTTGGGTCGGTGCCAGTACCAGGTGTATCAGGGCAAACATCCCAGTGTTGAAGTCTTGCACACCCTTTTGAGCAGCATAGGCTATGGTATGGCGGAGGGAGTAGGTAAACCCACACTATTGGGGTGTTTCCTCTAATTTGCCTGGTATTCCCTTTGTGTTTAAATGAAGAGATCTTACTATCAAACATGGGGCTCATCTACTTTGTTAATTTTGTTGCATAGTGTGTTGTGGACAGACAACTATGAAATAATTGTGTACATTTAATTATTTGGATTCTTTCTGCAAAATCTAGTTAAACTTATCTCTGTCTCCTTTCTGAAAATCTTATGTATCTTTGTGATTTTGTTTTGATTTGACTTTGTCTAGTTTGTGTTAAACACCTTGGCTCACTGTTGTACTGCTGTTACACTTTTGATAAAATTCTCTATTTTGTGATAATGTTGTATATAGTTTGTTGTAGACACACTGTTGCGTTCTCTTTTATCCATCCATCCTATTGCGCCTAACTGTGTCATTTAAAATTCTGTTGTTATGATTTCTCAATGATTGTACTCTATTTTGATTCCTCTTATTAATAGTGATTGCCTATTTGCTACTTTTTCGGGGCTTTGGAGATTACTGCCTTGATATCTAACCAAATCTGAGGTAGCAATCGGAATGTACCTTTATTATGTGTTTTGGTCGGCATGCAAGCAACATATGTTTTCAAGCAAAATTCAGTAATGTAATTTAGTTATTTACCGACCCTCCACGAAGATCAACTCTGGTTCCAGTTGCTCTCTAGAGTAATTGTGTAATTCATAAGCACATATAAGTTTTTGAAATCCAGTTTTTCTGAAACCCTTGCTGGTTTCTTCAGTGATCTGAATCTGGATCTAATTGCAAGTCAGCTTCTGGTACTTACAGCAAATATTAGTCAAACCTTGTACCAAGGAAAGTTTTCAACCAATGTTATGTTTTGTGACAATCATCCAACATAAACTGTATAGTTCTGTATATATCTCATGTAAATAAATTATGAAATATTGTGACACTGGAATGACTTTTTTCTTTCAAAGTCAAGAATAAGAACAAATTCTATCTTATATTTATTTTTGTGCATTACAAATACTTTAAAATTTCCTATTTTGTGTACAAAATAATTATGTTGTTTGTATTACATCACAGTTAACCAGGGGAAATTAATTTTCTTCTTGCTTAAATGGTACAGTGGACAACAGCGAGCTGTGGCCCGAACAGGTGCACTACTTCACTTCCTGCAGTGGCAGACAGCGTCCTTGCAGTATCCTCCCTTGAACCCCTTGAACATGGCGAGGCAGTGGGCAGCGCACCCGGCGTGATTAGGCGTCACCCACTTGGACTGGAAGCTGAGCAGGTCGCATGTTGCCCTGGCGTGACGGCCGGCCCTAACTGACGGACACAGGAGGTTGTAAGTACGAAGTACATATACACACTTGCATGACAGCTACGGCATACTCAGTCTGGACTGGAGTGGAGGGGCGGCCAGGCAGGACCACCCACCCGTAGAACACATTTGACAAAAACTCGTCAATGGCCCCCATTTTACAATGAGCTCAATCTGGCTACCTAGACGCTTTTGGGCGGGTAGCGTGACTCCAAAATCTTACCTTCGAGGCGCGGTCCATCTTCGGTGCTGCTGGGGCCAGGGCTGTCTCCGACTTCGTGCTGGGGGAGGTCAGCGTCGGCAGTACTCTGCTGCAGCGCGGCGGCCAGCACCACCAGCACCAAGGCCACACTAAGGGACAGCGAGGAACACGTTGTGAGAATAACAACTCCGGCCCAAAAATTTTCATTCACCCAAGGAACCTGGAAAGTCGGGGAATTTCGCTCGAACGTCCATGGGAAATTTCGGATAGTGGATTCCGTTGTGGCTTATGCGAGCACTCTACTGTCCGAGGGCCTGTAAAGTACCACTGTCTTCGTGTCAATAGATCGGTATTTGGCCTGCTTCTAATTAAGTGACTTAATACTTCTTCTACCGGACATTATTCGTCATTAACAAGACATAACAGATTCGATTTTCGCGTTTAATCGGCAACTGCAAACACAAGTCACGGACAAAATATCCACGGGACACCCTTCAGAACCTGAAGAACGTCCGACCCTCGTGTGGCGCGGCGCAATACTCACGTCGTGAAGCTCTTCATCCTGATGAGAGTCGAAGCTGACTGCGATGTGCCGGCGCGGAGTGTCGAGTGATGGCTTGTCGGAAGCACGCGCCTTTATAGTAGGCGTTCAAGAAGGAGACGATGCGTCGAGGGGGAGAGAGAGAGAGAGGGGGGGGGGGGCTACGGACTCCCGTACGCGCTGTGCGGGGCGTGCGGGATCATCCTGGTAGGGACTTCCCCTTTTCCCGAGTGGAGCGCAGACGCCACCGCTCCCCCCTGAGCAGTAATCAGTTCCCAGAACCCCTCTGCTGGCAGCGGGCCCGAGAGTCGTCTCTTCTCTGTTGCTCCCCGCAGCCGCACCGACGCGGAGCAAGGACCGGCGGGACCGGCGCGGCAGCAGGGCGATCCGGGACTTCCCCGTCCTACCCGAACCCTGCGCGAGTCCTTTTCTGATCGCGTGTGCTTCTTCTTTCATTATTTTATGGAATGCTAAGCCCCCTCCCAACACTTCGGCCCTAATGGTTGTTCTTATCACGTACCGTAGAATGGCGCTTCTTTATTATTTTGATTGAGTCGATTGGGTTGCCTGCTCCCAGGCGCCTGCGCCTGCCCGCAGCTTGTAGTTACTGGTATACACCATGCGGCATTACCTGGCTGAGATCTCCAGAATCCCAGTGAGAAACAGTTACATCGAAATGATGTCAGACTGATATCTTTGTCGGTAAATTGTCGATTATCGTGTCGAATCGATCCTGAGATGGTCTTAAAATCGAGACATTTCCGATAACTGATATCTATTTGATGTCGATTCGATGTCACATCGATTTTGATTTCTCACTGGGATTGTGTATATCTGTTGTTACTCTGTCAATGTGAATGTCCAGCGGTGGAGAATGTCGACAATCGCCGGTGAAAGACAGATTTTCCAAAAGTGCCCGGTGAATATCCGAATATTCGAGGTTGCTGACTCACGCCGCGCACTTTTGTAGTTATACTGTACCGCATGCGCGCGGGTGGGTTGCCTACTTGCACTGGGCCTCATGGAGCCGTGGGCAGCGGGGATAGGCAAACCCACCCGCACCCGCATGCGGCACTGTATAGCTACGGAAGTGCGCGGCGTAGGGATCGTCCAGAAAATACGCCCGTCGTTTGCCATTCCACAATTGCCAAGTTCATCCTGTGCAAGCTTTCATAGCGCCTGACATGTAGGCAACATCTTGTCGGTAGTAGTGCATGCGTGTACGGCGGGGTGGCCTACCCCCAGTCTCGCAGGCGCCGAGCTCCCGTAATTTGGTGAATGAAGCAAATACTGTAAGGCCTACGGGCAACAGCGCATCAACCTATATAAAACTCGTTAAAACACAAATGTATTTTATTTTAACATCAATACAACCATTCCAAAACTTTTAAAAAAACCCTGGTGGATGAATCTGAGAAGAAACGGACGTACTTTCTGGAAGACCCGATCACCCATAAAGTACGTCCGTCATTCGCTGTTACGAATCTGCCGCCAAGTTCAGCCTTTGCAAGCTGTCATAGCGCCTGGTAGGAAGGCAACATCTTGCATGCATGTTGTGCGGGGTGGCCGATCCCAAGTCTCGCAGGCGCCGAGCTCACGTAATTTGCCGAATGAATCGTGAAAAACGGACTATTTTTTGGACAAACGCAAGTGTGTGGATATCCATTCGTTCTCTTATGGGGGTAAACGTGTGAATCTTCTAGGAAAAAATAACACGTTTACCCCTCAAGTGTACAAATTGATATTTACACACCTACTAGTGAGCAACATTCACACACTTACGTTTTCAGTGCATTTATTCGTGTTCGTAAAAAGTTGTGGAAATGGCATTTTATAGGTCCAACAACTAGAGTAATTTCATGCCCTATCATATATTAGATTTTTCAAATGCTTTTTAACCGCCTGACTCAGAAGAACGTTGATACATAAGTACAAGCAACAACAGGAGGGAGGCCCATCAACCCCGCGCCGTTTTTTTTCCTCCGGCTACACTTTACCGGATTCAGGTGTGCACCGATCGGCCATTCTGTAACTGGTTGCTTTTGCAGCTCAACTTCATCACAGCTGTTTCTTTATGGTTGGACCACACTTCGGCATTAGCTTTCCATGTGAGCAGATGGAATTCTCATGTGACAGGTAGCCCAGTTCAAAGGTTTGGTTGAAAAGAATAAAAGACTCAAGTATTAATGTGAAAATTTTCTTTTGTACTTATTTTATTAATGTGTATCAAAAAACTGAAAAAAAATATCAGAGAACTAGTTTGGAATATTAGTTTTGAGCTTGTTTCAAAAATTGATTGCACTAATACTATTAGCTCAATAAAATCATAAAAAAAATAAAATTCTTAAAAAGTCACAGCTTGCATTTGTACACAGCCAAATTGGTGCTGCAGCCTAAACTAAATTTGTTCAGTTACAAAGTAGCATCTTCTTTGTCAACAGCAAATGGCTCAGCAACCTCCTCAACACCACAGTCCACAATTTCAACATCCTGAGTAGGACGATCACGGCCATCAGTGCTGGTAGCCTCAATGCGGCGAATGACACTCTGAAACAGACAAGAATTTTTGTAAGGTACAAGTATGAATCTAAATAGTACTTTATAAATGTGTTTACATCTCTTCAACACACCATTCCCTTGATGATCTTGCCAAAGACAACATGACGACCATCGAGCCAAGGAGTCTGCTTCGTGGTGATGAAGAACTGGGAACCATTGGTGTCCTTTCCAGCGTTTGCCATGGACAGCCAGCCAGCACCATAGTGCTTCAGCTTGAAGTTTTCATCCTCAAACCTCTCACCATAGATGCTCCTGCCACCAGTGCCATCACCCTTGGTGAAGTCACCACCCTGGATCATGAAGTCCTTAATGACACGGTGGAATTTGCTACCCTTGTATCCCTCTCCCTTTTCACGCTTGGCAAGTTCAATGAAGTTCTCAGCAGTCTTTGGGACAGTCTTTCCGAAGACACCAATTTCAACTCTTCCAACATTTTCGCTACCAATTTTAATGTCAAACCAGACCTGAAACAGACCAAAAGAAAAAATTGCATAAAGGAGGCTTACTCAACTGTATTAGTAATTATTAGAATTCCACGTAAGACAACACAAGTTTCTAAATGAATGACTAGTAAGGATCACAAAGTGCCACATTTGAGAAGATTAAAAGATAAAGTAATGCCACTTCCTTGCCAGAAGCCAGCTAAGCAAGCATGCCAATCTTTCAATAAAGGCCAAGTGGCCACAAAAACAGGTCTTGAGGGCAAGGTGGTTCAGTGACCTCCCCAGAGTTCATTCACAGCGCTGACTACTGGTCTCTTCCAGAATCATACAATTGAAGCACAACCTCAAAGTTTTATCATCCCTCAACTTTGAACCCACCGCAAGTCAGATACCGAAGGGGGGCTGACAGGGAAGACAGACAAAGAACCTGCTCGCCGGCCGCAAGCCGGCCTTATCGATCAGATCATCCCACGAGCCATCCCCAGCGTCTAACACTCAACAAAAGACCTTCCCTCACCTTCTGAGTCACTTTGGGTCCTTTCTTCGAGTCCTGGGACTTTGCGACGACAATGAAGCCGATCAGCAGGAGTGCCGCCACCCCAAGGGCGCGAGTGGTCCACGAAAATCTGCGCATTTTGCGAGCTTGGTCCTTCAGCCAAACCCAAGCCACTGTGCCTGGTCCAACGACGCCGAACGACTGTCCACGTCAAAGCCAAATTTCGGTCCTGATGTCAGCGTCAGCACAGCACAAGAAGATGAAGCGGTGGCAGTGGCGGCGGCTGCTGCTGTTGCTGCTGCTGCAACAGCAGCAGCAGCAGTAGCAACAACTCTCGCAGTACCAACCATCTTACCATTGTTGGATGTAAAACGTGAAAACGCTGCACGCTGGGCACCACGTTGAAAAGTGAATGAGTAGGCCCCTTGTGTAGCAAGGAACATCTTTAAGTCGTGTCACCTGAAAAGCAGAGAATCGTGACAGGATAATTAACTATAAACTTAAAGCATTGGCGTCAATGTGCTTTTTAAGTTTCTCATATAAGTATCGTCCCGACAAATTTTTCACATGTAGCGGTGACGGGTGACGCTGTCTGCTAGGATGTTTTTAATGTTTACGACAACTCTAGACGAATTTGGATGATATTTTCTTCAAGAAACTAAAACGATGGTTCACGCGTCGAAAATTCCTCTAACTCTCTTAATTGCCATTGCATTGCCATGTTTGTCCGTTGCGACCATTAGGAAATATACAATTGATGATGTGTTTAAATTCAGGTATGATACAGATCATTGAACTATTTTAAGTACATGATTTTTACATGTAACAAGGCTATACCATGTACCCAAACTGCATGTTTTATCGTTCTCTGTGTTTGTAGGGAGGAAGTGAGAGAGATGTTTCAACATGCATATGACAGCTACCTTCGTTATGCATACCCATATGATGAGTTGCGACCACTCAGCTGTGACGGTGTTGACACCTGGGGAAGGTAAAGTAATCCTTTCCTATTCTCAGCTTTTCTACACAATAGCTATCAAATTTAATCCTATTATTTTTATGATGTATTATTATTCTAATATTTGGAAGG